TCCATCCCCTAGAACTCATTTTTTTAAAAAATGCACAACAGTACACACTTGTATTCCCAGCACTGAGGAGACAGAGACAAGAGGATCCCTGGGGCTCTCTAGTCAGCCATTCTAGCCAATCGGTGAGCTCCAAGTTCAGTGAGAAACGCTGTCCCTCAAGATAAGATGGAGAGCAAAGGAGAAAGACGCCCAGTGTCGACCTCTGGCCTCCACATGCACCCACGTACATGAGCATCTGCATACACATGGGTACATACATGTACATACACACACATAAGACAATGTATCCTTCCACTCTATTGGCCTCACCCAAGGCTAGAAAGCTTTTACTCAGTTTGACGTTGACCCAGAAGCGAGCTTGTCCCTTCCCTGGACTTCTCAGTTCTGTCATCATCTATAAACCTGAAGGAGGCAAGGGGATGAAGGGGTCCTTCCCACCGTGCCCCGGATTGTACCAACCACCCAAGGAGAAGCTGGGAGGCGGTGGCTTCAAGCGTCTGCATCCTTCCCTGGCTCCCACATGTCCCTGCATCTCAGTTGCTGCCACAGGGGGCTGGTGCACCCATCCAAGACCCTGAGCCCTGTTCATCATAAGAAGTCCAACTTCGGTCTGGCTCTCCCCTCTCTGTCCCCACATGCTGTGTCTGGCATCAGTGTCCATACCTCTCATGACAAGTGAAAAGGAAGAAGTCAGAACTGCACCTCAAGCAAGAAAACACCAGGGAAATAAGACTGAGTCTGTGGAGGAGCTGGCTTCCTGAAACCAGCATGCCTTCATCTCCCAGGCAGGGTGGGGTTTGGGAAAAGGAGGGTGGCTGTAACATGGGCTGCCTGCACAGATGGAACCAGGAACCAGGTCTCTGCACGATGCTGGCCTCTCCAGGTCAAAAATAGGCAAGAGGAGGTCCAGCAAGCATGTTCAAAGCAGGGCCTAAGCCAGGCTTGTCTGAGAGAGCCTCTGCGTACCTCTTTCTGAGTTCTCTCATAAATCTGCATTCAAGCTTATTAGCTTGAAACCCCCTGAGACACCCCCCCACCCCAGTGGGGTATGGACAGCTCTCAGGATAAAATAAAGCAACAAGTACATAGGTTTTCCAGAGGTGCCTGGCCAGCATGTTTGACAAGATGGAGTGTGTCCTGCAGAGCCTTTTGGAAAGGGACTGGCGGCTGGTGTGGAGCAGAGTGGGAGGGCGGGGCCCAGAACTTTCCTGTGGCGCCTATACATCTCAGAGAACACACATAGAGCTATGACGCTCTTAGACATGGGAAACTGAGCTTCCTTCCATTTACATATCCCTGGAATGCAAGATGCCCCCGGTCCAGTTTCTGACTAAGTATGTGAATACTAACTTGTATGAGTTCACCATAATTTATCACTATTTGAAAGGGTAGATCTCCTGTCAAGCCCTGTGTGAAAGCGCCAAATTATTTGTTTGTTTATGTTTCCTGTCTCTGAGGATGGCCTTGAAATCACAGTGTTGCCAAAGTTGACCTTGAACTTCTGATCCTCCTGCCTCAGCCTCCTGAGTGCTGGAATTATAGGTATGGGACAGAACAACCAAGAACAGAACAAGTTTAAATGATGTCCATCTAGAAGACACGGTGTCCCTGTCCTACCAGCATGTATTCATCGGGGCAAAAGACATCAGTTTTGGTACTATGGAATGGTCACTCCTGGCAAAGGCTACCCTAGAGCAACATCCTAATTTCTAAGATGGGGAAACAGACACAAAGACACCGGGTGGTGTCCTCACGGCCACACAGATTGGGAAACTGACTACAGTCCGGGAGAGATGAAGACAGAAGTGTGGCGGCAGGGAAGAAACTGCCCAGCAGGTTGCTGGGCTGGGCTGGGCTGCCCAGAGAGGAGTGTCCCCTTACAAGTACAAAGTTAGCTGGGCATCTGTAAATGATCATTCAAAACTTCACTTCTAGCAGCCCCAATTGCCAGTTCCAACAATGGGCTCTATGCAAGGTACACGTATACCAGCAGTGGGATTCTTTTTTAAAACTTTAAAGTAGGGGGAAGGGACTGGAGAGATAGCTCAGTGGTTAAGAACACTGGCTACTCTTCCAGAAGAGCCTGGTTCAGTTCTCAGCACCCATATTGACGGCTAACAACTCTCTTTCACTCCACTTCCAGGGGATCCAACGCCCTCTTCTGGCCTCCAATGTCATTGCACAACACAAGTGCACTTACATATATGCAGGCAAAACACTCATACACATAAAATAAAAATAAATGAAAAAAATTTAAACATTGCTGTTGTGTGAGGTGGGGGGGAGGGCACAACACACTACACATGTACCACGGCATGAGGGTGGAAGTCAGAGAACAACTTTGGGAATCAATTCTCTCCTTGCATCACATGGGTCCTGGGAAGTGAACTGAGCCATCAGTCTTGTAGCAGGTGCCTTTACCCCCTGAGCCATCTCCCAGGCACTTGTGGGGATGGGATTCTTACTGGAAATGTGAGTCCACAAGGGACTCACTGCAGGAAAGGTCAGTGCCTGTCTAGGAGGGTGCTGTGTTAAAGTTGAGCTAAGTGGGTCGTGGCTCTGAGGTGAGGAGATGACCCAGTGTGGGATTAGCACAGGGCGTGTGTGGCTCCTGTCTTAAGAAGGGCGGCGGGGCAGAGGAGGTTTCAAATCTGTTGTTAACTTGCATTGCCTCACTAAATTACTGGGTGATGCCTCCCAAACTCTTACCTCCCAATGCTCATTTCCCCCAGGAAAAATGAGAATAAAGAGCGTGGAAGGTGTGGGTGTTCTGTGGTGAGGACCTGAGGAGAGCTCAGTAATTATGTAATCCAGACGTTTAAGTTTCAGAGGAGGAAACTGAAGCCCCCAAAAGACAAGTGGGTGGTCTCAAGGCTCCTTGGCCAGTAACACAGCAGAACAAAGTGAGCCAGGAAAGGCCAGTTTTTACAAAATGCTTTCCAGCACTTAGGCTGAAAAACTTGGAACCAAACTTCTGAGCGATTTCTGTCGCTGCGTATAGGTTCTGACTGGCTGTCACCCTGGCTCCCTGGGTTGAAGACACTCTGGGCAACGGTAGTATTTCACGGGCTCTTTTGGGCTCTTTTGGATCTGAGTCCACAGAGTTTGCCAAGCAGAACGGAGCCTCTGCAAGCAGTGCTTCTTGTCCTCCCTGGAGATCTGTCTCTTTTGCCAAGGCTGGTCCAGAAACATGCTGACTTTCATCAGCCAAATTTATGGCTTCACAGGCCACAAAGGCAGGCGTGGCGAGGTGTGGAAAGAGCAAGAGGCTTTGGAGTGAGCTGGGTCTAGGTCGAGGACTAATTCTTTCAACGTTGATTCAGCAAATATTTATTTAGAGCTTCTTATGTGGCAAACCCTGGGTTGTGTGACCGAGGGTGGGTCACTAAACTTCCCTAAGCCTCCGTTTCCTCTTCTGTTAAATGAAGACACTAAACCCTTCCTTTTAGTATCATTCTGAGGAGCAGAAACACAATCCGAAAATCCTTAAAAATATGTGTGCGCAATGCATTATTTATCGCTTGCTTCATAGAATCCTAGGATAGTTCCAAGTGAAAAGAACTTAATATATTCTCCAGTTCCCTGTTCCAGGTCATAAAGGAGGGGTTGGGCCGAGGGTAGAGGGGCTTGCCAAGGTCCCTCACCAGCATGCCTCACCCATGTTCAGAATCTGGATCCTCCCACCCCACACTACCTTGTAGGTCATCTAGGCAAAGTGGCAGGTTGACAGCCACCTACAGGATGTGGCTGAAGGTAAAGGGATGAGCACTCCTAGGAAATGCTGTTCTCAAGGTCCTGGCTAAAAGGAGGGAAGACTAGGGATGTCTGCAAGCTGCTACAGCCCCCTGCTGGTGAGAAAGGAGATGGGACCCCAGAAATAAAGGCAGGCCAGAAGACAGCCAGAACTTTCCAGATCAGAAAGGAAAGTAACGTGGAGCTCTGAAGAAGAGGGAGTAATGAGGGAGCACAGGTGTGTTATTTTTTAATTACCTTTTATTTATTGTGTGTGTACTCATTTGCTTGTGAAGGTCAGAGGACAACTTTCAAGAGTTGGTTCTCTCCCTCCACCATGTGGGTTCAAGGGATCAAACTCAGGTCATCAGGCTTGGTAGCAGGTGCATTTACCCACTGCTAAGCCAGTTTGCCGGGCCCCAGAGTATTTATAAGACACGGAGTAAGGAACTTTTAAGGGAGAGGATTCATCACAAACCTAACTGCAAATTTATTAAACACTTGTTTTCCCCACGTGTAATTTGAAGAAAATCATATAAAAAGTCCCTCTCATGTTAATGGATCAATGTGGGGATGATTTGAACTTCTATTACACATACATAGGATTTGGAGGACTTTGTATTTTTTTAATATTTAATTTATTATTTTTATTTTATGTGTACAAGTACATTGCCTACATGTATGTGAGTACACCCGTGTCGTGCAATGCCGTGGAGGTCAGAAGAGGGCTTCGGATTCCCCTGGAACTGGAGTTACAGAGAGTTGTTAGCCACCATGTAGGTGCTGGGAACCGAACCCAGGTCCTCTGCAAGAGCAGCCAATGCTCTTAACTGCTGAGTCATCTTTCCAGCCACTCAAAGTATATTTTTAAAAATAGTTTTTGTTATGCGGTGTGGAAGCACATTCCCAAAATCCCAGTACACAGGTGGCAAAGGCAGCAGGACCCCAAGGTCAAGGCCAGCCTAGGCTACACAGTAAGATACCTCAACAAAAAGCTGAGAAACCATTTTTAATGATTAAGTTCAATATATTAGACATCATAAATCCAGACGTGGGTATTTCCCCCTTGGTTTTGTTCCCCAAGCGCATAGTATGTGCAAAGCCTGGGTTGAGCCCCTAACACTGCAAATAAATCCATCAGTCAATCTCAGGTTGGCTCTTACCATCTTGACATGGGGTGGCTTCTTGGGTCACACTGCCCCCTGCTGTTCCTAGAGAGACACAACAGCTAAAATCCAAGCAAAAAACTTTTGAGGCCATGTCATTACCTTTTTGTGATAAAATCTCTTGGCTTGGCTGTTAAATCCCTTTTTTTCTGATTCTGGGATAACTGAAGTTCTTAATGTAAAAGGAATAGAATATTGTGTTGGATATGCAGCAGTAAAACCTGAACAAGAAAAATAACACAGCCATCAGTACCACATTGCCAATGTCTCACTCTAAAGCAACCACTAAGAAAACACTGCAGGGACTTAGGCTAAGCTGTGGATGTAGCTCAGTCAGTAAAGTGCTTTCCTAGCATGCATGAAGTCCTGGGTTCCATCCCAGCACCACGTAAAACCAGATGTGGTGGTGCACACCTGTAATCCTAGCACTCAGTAGGTGGAGGCAGAAGGAGTAGAAATTCAAAGGCATCCTTGGCTACATACATCTTTGGAGGCCAGCCTGGGATATGTGAGACCCTGTCTCAATCAATCAATCAATCAGTCAATCAATTAATAAATAAATATCCTAATAATCTAATAAAAAAAGATAAAATGGAGGCAATAAAAATGCTCAATACGAGCCAGGCGTGGTGGCACACACCTTTAGTCCCAGCACTCAGGAGGCAGAGGGAGGCAGCTCTCTGAGATTTAGTCCAGCCTAAGCTACATAGTGAGTTCCAGATCAACTGAGGCTACAGGGAGACCCTATCTCAAAAAAACAAACAAACAACAAAATTCAATACAGGCAGTCCTAGGATCACCATGAGGTTTGCCTTGCCCACTTCTGGGACTCAGAAAGGTGCAATTTTTCCTTTCTCTTTTCCTCTCTCTCTTACTTTAGATGCTGGCCAGATGTACACTTCTTCTGGTACTTTGGGCTTTCTTACTCTTTCTCTAAAGTCCCCCTCCCACCATGTGGCTAGCCTCCCTCCTGGCCAGCCTTTCTTCTTTCTCTTCTCAGTTCACCTCCTCCAGGCAGCTGCTGAGATTTACAGCTTGCCTGCTCTGGTTTTTTTCTTTTAAAGTCTTAAAAAAAAAAAGACCTCTCTGAATTTAAAAAACTTAATACAGCCAGGCATGGTGGCGTACGCCTTTAGTCCCAGAAATCTGGAGGCACAGGCAGGCAGATCTCTGCAAGTTCAAGGCCAGCCTGGTCTACATAGTGAATTCCAGGATAGCTGGGGCTACAGGAGATTCTGACTCAAAAAGACAAAAAAAAAAAAAAACAGAATAAAATAAAACTTAATACAGGGTTGGAGATATTGGTCAGGCGGTAAGGTCACTTGCTGCCAAATCTGACCTAAGTTTCATCCCCAGGACCCACATGATAGAAAGAGATCAACTCTCGCAAGTTGCACTCTGATCTCCACGCTCATGCCACCACATATGCACATAAAATAAATAAGTGCATACATAAATAAATAAATAATAAATACATGTTATTTTAAAAGTTTAAGGGCTGTAGAAATGACTCAGCAGTTAAGAGCACCAGCTGCTCTTGCGGAGAACCTATGTTCAGTTCCCAGCACCCACAGGCAAGCTACAACTATCTGCAACTCCTGTTCCATGGGACCTGACACCCTCCTCTGGCCTCCACTCATACTGCACACACAGGTGCACTTACATACATGCAGGCAAAACACTCATATACATAAAAATGAAAGTAAATTATTTTAAAAACAAATTTTAAATATTCAAAGCAAAAGACAGAACAAATAAAGAGTGAACAGGCGGGGCAGATAGAAAGTGAATCACAAAATGACAGACTTACTCGGGCGTTGTAGCACATGCCTGTGATCCCAGCACTCAGGAGGTAGAGATAGGTGGATCTCTGTGAGTTCAAGGCCAGCCTGGTCTACATAGTGAGTTCCAGGCCATCTGTCTCAAAAAGACCATAAAAAAAAAACACACACAGACTTACACTTTCATAGCAATAGCCATGTTAAATATTAAGTAGTCTATCATTCCAAATAAAACATAGAGGGTTTTTTTTTTAAGACAGATTGGAAAAGAAAAAAAGACCCAACTATGTGCTACCTGCAAGAAACACACTTTAAATGTAAACCCAGAAATCAGTTTAAAAGAGTAAGGACTTGCAATCAGAGCTTAGTTGAGCTTTTGGAAAAAAAGTGAAATCTCTTGCACATTTAAAATTGAAGACTATGATTCTTGCCAGACATAAAAATAACATCTCTTCTTATACTTTCTTCCCACTCTATCTATGTCTATCAACACTTTAGGGGCAGCAGGGCCTAAGGCAATCCACCTGAGCACTAAGGGTGGTCTTGGGGATTTAACTCAGGATTTACTCTATTCCTACCAATTGTGCTCTGTTGTACTAAAGTGGGATGTGTCGGGAGCTCCCTCCTCCCCACACAGATACGTGTGATGTAAATTCACTAGACCTTTCTGTAGTTTGTTGCTACGTCTGGAATGCTTGCTGGAGTCATCATCTCTTGGTGTAAAGTTGTCCATGTTAACAAAGTTCTGGGATATGTTCCATTTGTTTGAAGAAAACTTCTGCCCCACGTTCTGCTAAATACCTGAAATAATAAGACAGAGTGTTTGTGAGGACTGTTTCACACTGTGGTTAAGTTCTGTGCTGACAGCATGTTAGGTTGAGAGGTCTTGTGGGGTACAGGCTGAGATTCACCAAATTCTGTGTGTTCCCAGGTTCCAAGCACACAGTGCTGGCCACAGTAGGAACTTGGCACATGTTTTTCTGTGCATACATAACTACTGAGACTTTGAATCTTATTTTCATTACAAATTTAGCTTGGCTAAGGTATAAATTACAGATAATAAAATTCATCAGTGGCAAATGAATGATTCTAAGTTTTGGCAATGTTTTCAGTTGTGTTCTATAGAACCACGGTTAACATATTAAAGCTATCCATCGCCCCCAAAGTTCAAAGTCATTACCCTCTGAACCTGGTGTCTGTCAACCGCTGGGTTTTCTCTCACAATAGCTGCCGTGCTACAATGCCACACAAGTGCTACCAGCAGCAGATCAAGTTCTACCAAAGCGCTCTTCTGAAATTTTGGTTGGGATTATATTGAATCTATAAAGCAATTTAATGAGAACGCGTTAACTTTGTTGAGTATTGTGATCCATTAATAGAGTATATCTCCCCATTTATTTAAATTTCTCAACAGTATTTTATGCTGATCCATATTACAGATATTGCATGTATTTTCTTTTTAAATTTTATTTTTATGTCTATGAGTTTTTACCTGCATTTAATGTGCACCATGTACATGCCTGGTGCCCACAGAAGCCAGAAGAGGGCACTGGACTCCTGGAGCTGGAGTTACAGAAGATTGTGAGCCACCATGTGAGTGCTGGGAACTGAACCTGTGTCTTCTACAAGAATAGTAAGCACTCTTAGCCACATAGCCATCTCTCCAGCCCCATATTCTTTTTTTAAAAGCCTCTCTCTCTCTCTCTCTCTCTCTCTCTCTCTCTCTCTCTCTCTCTCTCTCTCTGTAAGGTGGAGGACACCTTGGGTATTAGTTCTCACCTTTCATCTTATTTGCTGTGATCTGCTTTCTGTGAGTTTTAAGGATCTGAACTCAGGTCTCTACGAAAACTTCACCCACTAAGCCATCTCTCCAGCCCAATACAGATTTCCTTAAATGGAATCTTAGGGGGTTAAAACTTGTATTTCATGAAAATGGAATTTTTAAAAAGTCTTAGCAATGAGATCCTATCTCAAACAAAAAAATCAAGAACAAATCTTTTTGTTTCGTTTTGTTTTGTTTTGTTGGCTTTGTGGTGCTGGGGATCAAAGTGAGGACCTTGCACGATGCTAGACGGCCATTTACCACTGAGCTGCGTCCCTAGCCCTCCAAAATTTCTACTTTCTTCATTTCTGGTATGCAGAAATAAAAGTGATTTGTGTATATTGACGTTGTATCCTCCAGCCTTTCTACCCTCATTTTTTAAGTTCTAATAACTTTTTTTTTTTTTTGGTCTTTTTGAGACAGGATCTTCCTGTAGCCCCAGCTGTCCTGGAACTCACTATGTAGACCAGGCTGGCCTTGAACTCAGAGAGATCCACCTGCCTCTGCCTCCCGAGTGCTGGGATCAAAGGTGTGCTCCACCACGCAAGTTCTAATAACCTTTTTGAAGATCAAGAATTTTGTTCTGTAACATCTGTATGTAAATAAAGGGTTTTATCTCCTCCTCTTCTACCTGTGTAGCTGTTACTTCTTTTTCTTATAACGTTGCAATGATTAGGCATTCAAAGCCATACTGAATGTGTGATAATTGGTATCTTTTTTGCTGCTGGCTTGAGGGGGGATGGATTCAGTCTTTCCACATTAAATAAGATGTTCGTTATAAGGGATTTTGTTGGTGGTTTTGTTTTCATTGTTTGTGGAGGTGTTTTTTGTTTTTATGTTTTTGTGTGTATGAGTGTATTGCCTTGCATGTATGTAAGTGCACTTGTGTCATGCCATACCCACTAAGGCCAGAAGAGGAAGTCAAATCCCCTGGAACTGGAGTTATGGATGGTTGTTTGCCACCATGTGGGTGCTGGGAACCAAACCCGGGTCCTTTTTAAGAGCAGCCAGTGCTCTTAACTACTGAGTCATCTCTCCAGCTCCTGCTTTTTGTTTTTTTGAGACAGGGTCTCCCTATAGCCCCAGCCAGCCTAGAATTCACTATGTAGACCAGGCTGGCTTCAATATCACAGAGATCTGCCTTCCTCTGCCTCCCAAGTGTTGCAATTAAAGGCATGTGCCACCACACCTAGCAGCTATTTGGTTTTTGTTTTGTTTCTATTTTTTTAATATTTTATTTATTTTTGTTTTATGTGTACAAGTATATTGCCTGCATGTATGTGAGTGCACCCGTGTCGTGCAATGCCTCAGAGGTCAGAAGTGGGCTTCGGATTCCCCTGGAACTGGAGTTAAGGACAGTTCGTAGCCACCATGTGGGTGCTGGGAATCAAACCCCAGTCCTCTGCAAGAGCAGTCAGTGCTCTGAACCGCTGAGCCAACACTCCAGCCCATTTCTGGTTTTGTTTTTTTTTTTCAATCTATGTAATTGGTTAGTTGGTTTTTGAGACAAGGTTTCTTTCTATATTTCCTTCTATAACCCAGGCTGACCTGGAACCCGCAATCCTCTGGCCTTAGTCTCCCGTGTGCTGAGAATGCAGCCACATGCCACAGATTCTGCTCTCATTGTAAGTTGGTTGGTTGGTTGAGATTTGTTGTTCTTGTTGCTTTGGGTTTTTGAGACAGGGTCTCATTACATAGCACTGGCTGGCCTGGAAGTTCACTATGTAGACCAGGCTGGCCTTAACCTCGTACAGATCCACCTGCCTCTGCCTCCTGAATGCTGAGATTAAAGGCATATGCAACTACACCCAGCCCAGTTTTCTGTCAATTATTTTTACTATCTGTATTTTTTCCTCCCTTCTGTTTTGAACTGTTTGTGTCTTCACATTTAAAAGTGGTTTCTGGCCAGGTTTGGTGCCCCAGTAGGCAGATTTCTGTGTTTGTGGCCAACCTAGTCTACACAGTGAGACCCTGTCTCAAAAAATATATGAATAAATAGGGGCCAGAGAGATGACTCAGCAGTTAGGAGCACCAGCTGCTCTTGCAGAGTACTGGAGTTTGGTTCCCAGCACCCACATCAGGTGGCTAAAAACTGTAACTACAGTTCCAGGGTATTCAGTGCCCTCTTCTGGCCTCCATGAGCATTGCTCGCATAGGTGCACTTACTTACATACAAGCAAAATACTCATACACATTTTTTAAAAAACAAAAAATTAATAAACAAATAAGCTGGGCATGGTGGCACGCTCCTTTCATAGCAGCACTCAGGAGGCAGAGGCAGGCAGATCCCTGTTGAGGCCAGCCTGGTCTACATTGTGAGTTCTGGTCAACCAGCTAGGGCTAAAGGGAGACCCTGTCTCAAAATAAATAAAGTGCTTTCTTTTCTATTTTTTCCTGGACCCTGAACCCAGGACCTTGCTCTGAGCAAATGTCTAGCCTAAAAGTATTTTGCTGTTTTGGTGTTGATCAAACTCAGGTCCTTGAACATACTAAACACATGGTCTACCACAGAGCTACATCTTCATCCCCCGACCTACATACAGAAAAGCATTTCAAAGTAATTCTTGTTTCCTCTGTAAGCCCTGTGTCTTTTTTCTTTTTAATCCATCTACTTTTTGTTTTGTTTCATTTCGTTTTGCTTTATTTTGTTTTAGAGACAAGATGTAGCCCAGGCTGGCCTTGAACTTACAGATCCTCCTGCCTCAATCTCCTGAGTGCTAGGATTTTGAGTGTGTGTCACCACACCCAGCTCCCACCTACTTTTAAGCCTTTTCTGTTACCATTTATACTCAGCAATTTGATTTTTCTCTCATATTTATTTTGTGACACACATATAACATAAAAATTACCATCTTAACCATTTCTGTGTTTTAGATATTTTATTTAATTATTTTAGCTGTACAATACCTTAACCTTTCTAGGTATGCATATCAGTGGATTCTGTGCATCCATGACACTGTGAAGCTGTCACCATCATCTACCCCTATAGATCTTTTCATCTTTCAAAACTGAAATCCCGTCACCAGCCCCCGCCTTTCTCACGACACATTTCATGACACATCATTTCCTCTGTGTGTCCCCCATTCTTCCATCCCCAGCCACTACCTTTCTATCCTATTTCTGTAGTTCTGACTACTCTACCCCATCATCGATTTGATTGCAATCATGCCTTGGTATCATTTTCTTCAGTATTTTAATGTCTGGGTTTTTCTGGATTTCCTGAATCTGTAGGTTTATGGTTTTCATCAGACTTTGAAAACATTCTGCACCCCCTGTTCAAATCGTTTTTCCTGTTCTCTCACTGTGTCCTGGGGCTACAGTTACATGTACATTAGATCAGCTGGTTGATAGGTGCTTTGTAGGATGCCCCATTTACATGTGGTGGTGGGCTTCTGCCAGGCTGTCAGACAGTGCCTGATTATCACACAGGAAAACCTGGCAGTTTCTGAGCCAGAGGACATGTATCTGTGACAGCCACTTCAAAGATGAGTCAGGAAGAGAGTAGGAAGGCGCCCTGCTGAGAAAAGGAGTCTCTGCATAGAAATGCCAAGCCCCTTGGGCTATCCGGACATGGAGAGACTTCGACCTAACACAGCAGGGGTCCCCAACAAGGTGCTATGAAATTTCCATTCTCAGGGGTTGGAGAGATGGCTCAGCAGTTAAGAGCACTGGCTGCTCTTCCAAAGGACCCAGTTCAATTCCCAGTACCCACATGGTGGCTAACAACCATCCATAACTCCAGTTCCACAGGATTTGACACCCTCTTCTGGCCTCTGAGGGGTTTGCACAACACAGGTACACTTAACATACGTGCAGGCAAAATATTCATGCACATAAAACAAAAATAAAGATTTTTAACGAAATTTCTATTCTCAGGTGCTATATAGTGATGCATTTGCATTTTTCTTGGTCCATTTTTCAGTGATTTGAAGATTCATTTGACCCCTTTCAGCAGTTTTTGTTGGTGGTAGTGGTGGTG